TTTTTTATTGTTGAATCATGAAAACTGACCTTAACTGAGGCTAGTGAGGCCTGTAGTTCTTTAGATGTTGTTCTGGGTTCTTTTATGACCTCCTGGATGAGTCATAGTTGTGCTCTTGGAGTAATTTTGGTAGGTCTTCAACTCATGAGAAGGTTCACCACTGTTCTTCATGTGTCTATAATGGCTGTCGCCGTGGTTCGCTGGAATTCTAAAGCCTTGGAAATGGCTTTGTAACCCTTTCCAGACTGATACATGTCAACTACTTTGTTTCTCATCAATTCTTGAATTTCTTTAGATCGCAGCATGGTATGTTGCTTTTTGAGATCTTTTAGTGTGCTTCACTTTGTCAGACAGCTTTCTTGATTCAACAGGCCTGGTAGTAAACAGGCCTGGGTGCAGCAAGTGGAATTTAACTTGACTTTTCAAAAAATGTGGTAAATCACAATTCATTCATGATTTAGGCAAGGGGGTGGGAATTATTTTTTCCCATAGGGCCATAGGGTGTGGACAGCTTTTTTCCATTGATAAATTAAATTATTTAAAAACTGCATTTTGTATTTACTTGGGTTATCTTTGTGCAATAATACATTTTTTTGATGATCTGAATCATTTAAGTGTGACAATTATGAAAAAAAAAAAATCAGGCAGGGAGCAAATACTTTTTCACAGCACTGTAGGTTTACCAAAAAAATCTCCTTTCATGTTGTAAGTGCTGCATGTCTGCTGGCCATCTCTTTACACAATTTCATGGATTCTCTGCATACTTTGCAGCTTCTCCTCTGTTGTTTACTTTATACCTATCCCATAAAGCCTTTCTGTCTGTAAGCAGTGATTCCTGTACTGACTTTGCCTCCTCTCAGCACCTCTTTAGTTCAGAAGACAAGCTCTGTGAAATGTGTAACACAACAGTGCCTACTCACAGGGCAGTAAATACATGTCATGGAAATGTGCGGGGTACTTCACAAATACGTTTACAAACGTTGACAAGATCATTTAGATTACAAATGGTGGGCTAGAAATAACTGAAATGCAATGTGAAAATGATGATCTAATTCAAAATTTTGACTACAGACATGTTTTAAAGACCTGTTCATCCTCCATTTGAAGACAGGTTTACCATGTGGCGATAGTCTATAATGTAGTGAGAAGTTGTGGTCTGACCAGTGTATAATAGAGATATCGGTTTTGGACACAAGGGGTTAATTTTGAAGTGGTATGAAGATGAGGCTAAACCTACAGAAGCGTTGCTGGGGGTTGGAGATATATGTAAAGTTCGTGGTCCAGGGATGAAATTATTGCAAAGTGTCCATAAGGTAAAGAGATTTGAGAACTGTGTGCATGTGGGATTCTTGGGAGGTATCGTGGGTGGGGGTCTTGTTGATCCATTACCTATCTCTAGGGTGCATGTAAAATATGAGGTTGCATCAGAAGGCTATAAGGGCACCTTGAACCTTGTCTTGAGAGCTAGCCATATAAAAGATAGGGAAAAGTTTGCTAAGAAATGTTGGGCAGGAAGCGGATGGATATCTAAAGATTTTTGAAGATTGACAATATCCACTTTGTGTGTTTAAAACATGGAATGTTTTGGGAAAAAATATGTAGGAGTTGTGGTGTCTTGGTTGTTAACATTAGATGGGCCACCATGAGAGACACATAGCAGCCTCATCTGCCATGGTAATAAAAGGGTGGGCAAGGTCCTGAATCTTGTGGGAAAAGGTCAAGTCTCGTTATCTTTTATCTAACATTAGGTTGGTGATATAATGGGAGTAGACATTAAAAAAACAGATTTACCAAATTTAAAACATTTGCTAGAACCACAAATTCAAGAAGAAAACAATACTCACAAATTTCTCGCCCTCTCGAGCTGGACTATGGGGGGTTATCCGTGGGGTGGAGTGTCCACTACTGGGTGGGGAGGGGCTGGCCAAAGTAGAAGTGGTGACAGAAGTTGGAATGGAACTAGCTGAACGGTAACGTCCCAGAGATCCATCAAGAGTGCCACTAGTAACCCTGCTCTCTATCTCCTCGGCACGCAACTCAGTAGTCTCCTTCTCTTCCTGTATAAGCCTGGCAAGAAGAGGCAATGTAAGAAGAAAATTACCATTGCTATTTGTGTGCTTATTTATTTTTATTTATTACAGGTACTTATATAGCGCCGTCAATTTACGTAGCGCTTTATATATATATTGTACATTCACATCACTCCCTAACCCTCAAGGGGCGTACAATCTAAGGTCCCTAACTTACATTCACACATACACATACTAGGGCCAATTTAGACAGATCCAATTAACCTACCAGAATGTCTTTGGAGTGTGGGAGGTAACCAGAGTACCCTGAGGAAACCCACACAGGCACAGGGAGAACATGCAAACTACACGCAGGTGGTGCCATGGTTGGGAATCGAACCAAGGACCCTAGTAATGCCAGGCGGAAGTACTAACCATTTAGTTACTGTGCTGCTGTTTAGCACATTTTTTTCTACTTCACAATCATAGGAAAATTAGAAAATAAATATAAAATGATTAACATAATGGTAAGAGATCTCCACCTAAACTTTATATCATCCATGCCTAACATAATGGCCTAACAAGATTCTCTGTGATAACACAATTGACAGCAAGGTTCTGTTAAAAGGGGATACAACAATAGACAGTAATAAATGAGGCAAACAAGTAATGGAGAAAGCAAAACATATTGCCAGGTACGGGACTCCCAATAACTATGTGGTATCTAGGTCAAAGAGATGATTTAAGACATTAAGAAAACACACTTTAAAATGTGTTTTAAAGCAGACCTTTTTATAAAGTAACTGAAAGTGGTTGTAAAGGCAGGACATTTTTTACCCTAATGCATTCCTTACATTCCGGTAAAAAAATGTCCCAGCAGTTGTATTGCCCCCTCATTACCCTTTTACTTACCTATCCTATTTCGATCTAACGCTGTGCCTGTTTGCGGCGGTGGTAAAAAGAGTTAGCACAAAAAGGGCACTTAGGTAGTTTGATTGGCAGAGGCAGCCAATGTAGTTGTTCAAAGGATAGCAATGAGTCATCTGCTTTAGTAAAACATTCATTGATTTTATTTCACCCAGTAACAAATTTCGTGGCTTTAAATTGTAACTTCCTCAATTCAAGGTGATAAAGTTGGTGTCTACTATCAGCTGATAGTGTGCTTAACTTGGGGAAATATCCTTTACTGACCACTAGGTGGAATGTAGAGTTTGTGGAGCCACATTGATTACATCACTGCCACAATTGGAGCAGTACTATCGACTCTTCATTGGAACAGAACCATCAGCTCTCCATCAGAGCAATACCCCACTCTACGCAGATACTCTAAGCAGTATTATCAGCATTTCCTGTCATCGGAGCAGTACCATCAGTTTTTCCAGCAGAGCAGCACCCTAAACTTAATCTTCAGAACAGAACAGTGTCATTAGCTTTCTTCTCCAAAAGAATAAAACAGTTTTCAGCAGCTCAATAGTATCAGTTCAGCTCTCCAGCAGAGTAGTACGTACAGCAACTCTTACCCGTGTCAGAGTCCCACCACCTTTACTTTACACTAGAACAGTATCATGAGTATCATGAGAATATGCAGTTCAGTTTTGGGCACCAATTCACAAAAAGAACATTGGGGAACTGGAGAAAGTACAGAGCAGGGCAACCAAACTGATAAGAGACATGAAGGAGTTCAGCTATGAGGAAAGATTAGAGGAACTGAATTTTATTCTCTCTTGAGAAGAGGAGATTAACATGATTAACATGATCAACATGTATAAATAGATCAGTGGTTCACATAGTGAACTTGGTGTAGAGCTATTCACCCTGAGGTCATCACAGAGTACAAGGGGGTACTCTTTACGTCTGGAGGAAAAGAAATTTAATCTCCAAACATGGAAAGCTTTCTTCACAGTGAGAGTTGGTTCTGGCCAGCTCAGTGGATTACTTTAAAAAAGTCCTGGATTCTTTCCTAGATACACAGAATATAACTGGATACTAACATTTATAGGTAAAGTTGATCCAGAATATCTGATTACCTCTCGTGGGATCAGGAAGGAATGTTTTTCCCTGCAGGAGCAAATTTGATCATGCTTTGCTGGATTTTTTGCCTTCCTCTGGATCAACTGTGGGTATAGGATTATAACTTTTTTTTTTTTTTTAATGGTTGAACTGGATGGACTTTTGTCTTTTTTGAGCCAGACTAACTATCTACTATGAGCTATATTCTCCAGCAGGGCTGTAATATTAGCACAGTTTTCTAACAGCATACCTTTAACTCAATTCTCTGGCAAAGAGTCTTTTCTCCAACAAAAAAGAAACAAAAGATGAACAAAACAAAGCTGTAACAAATAAAATTCAGCCTGTTTTTGTTAAAAATTAATGGCACTATGTCTGCAAAGGGCAGTGTGTTTCTCTGTGTGATTCTGCATGAGTTCCATGTACAAAGAATAACTTAGCAATTCTCTTGCATGTGTCAGCACAATGGAGTTTTTCTCTTTGGACACTTTTTCTGTCAATGGTAAAAAAGAACAAAAGGTACTGACCGTGTCCCTGCAAAGCATTGTCTGTACAACTAGTTGTGTTGACTTTACAGATATGTTCTTGGTTGTGATTGCTTTTTGGTTTTGCTTTAACTTCTGTATGTATGATCATAAATTTGCCAGTGTTATAAATTAAGGCAAATCTGTTTTGGTTGCTGTATGCTGTGTGTTGGGTGGGAGCACACACACAAGGTAGCTAGAGTACTGGATATAAAAAAAAAGTATAAATCCAGTCCTGGTTATCATTTAAGATTCATTGTCAGTCACACAGGGAGTGCATTTTTTTTCAAATTAAAGTTTATTGACATAAGGTAGTATCCAGAACAGATAGTATGTGAACATCTGGTACATTCAAGATTCATGGCAAGATTCAGTCGAACAGCTTGAGACAATAGACGGTAATGTAAAAAACAATATATGATGAAAAACGGCAAATAACAGAGCACCCATAAAAGTTCAACCTAGCCCTATTTCCCAGAGGCTTGAACTGCGATCTCCTCGAGGGGGAGAAAGAGAAAGAAAGAAAGAAAAAAAAAAAAAAATAAATAAATATATATATATATATATATATATATATATACACACACACACACACATACAGTTAGGGCCATATATATTTAGACACAGGCACAACTTTCATACTTTTGGCTCTGCATGCCACCAGAATAAATTAAAATGAAATGATCCATATGAATTTGAAGTGCAGATTTTCAGTTTTAATTCAAGGGGTTGAACATAAATATCAAGTATAAATTTTAGGAACTGCAACCATTTTTATACACAGTCCCTCCATTTTCAGGGGCTCAGATGTAATTGGACAAATGAATATAATCATAAATAAAATGTTCATTTTTACTATTTTGTTGAGAATCCTTAACTGGCAATGACTGCATGAAGTCTGGAACCCATGGACATTACCAAATACTGGGTTTCCTCCTTTCTGATGCTTTGTCAGGCTCTAACTGCAGCTACAGTCAGGTCCATAAATATTGGGACATCGACACAATTCTAAAATTTTTGGCTCTATACACCACCACCACAATGGATTTGAAATGAAACGAGCAAGATGTGCTTTAACTGCAGACTGTCAGCTATAATTTGAGGGTATTTAAATCCAAATCAGGTGAACGGTGTAGGAATTACAACAGTTTGCATATGTGCCTCCCACTTGTTAAGGGACCAAAAGTAATGGGACAACTGGCTTCTCAACTGTTCCATGGCCAGGTGTGTGTTATTCCCTCATTATCCCAATTACAATGAGCAGATAAAAGGTCCAGAGTTCATTTCAAGTGTGCTATTTGCATTTGGAATTTGTTGCTGTCAACTCTCAAGATGAGAACCAAAGAGCTGTCATTATCAGTGAAGCAAGCCATCATTAGGCTGAAAAAACAAAACAAACCCATCAGGGAGATAGCAAAAACATTAGGCGTCGCCAAAACAACTGTTTGGAACATTCTTAAAAACAAGGAACGCACTGGTGAGCTCAGCAACACCAAAAGACCTGGAAGACCACGGAAAACAACTGTGGTGGGTGACCGAAGAATTCTTTCCCTGGTGAAGAAAACACCCTTCACAACAGTTGCCTAGATCAAGAACACTCTCCAGGAGGTAGGTGTATGTGTGTCAAAGTCAACAATCAAGAGAAGACTTCACCAGAGTGAATACAGAGGGTTCACCACAAGATGTAAACCATTGGTGAGCCTCAAAAACAGGAAGGCCAGATTAGAGTTTGCCAAACGACATCTAAAAAACACAGTTCTGGAACAACATCCTATGGACAGATGAGACCAAGATCAACTTGTACCAGAGTGATGGGAAGAGAAGAGTATGGAGAAGGAAATGAACTGCTCATGATCCTAAGCATACCACCTCATCAGTGAAGCATGGTGGTGGTAGTATCATGGCGTGGGCATGTATGGCTGCCAATGGAACTGGTTCTCTTGTATTTATTGATGATGTGACTGCTGACAAAAGCAGCACGATGAATTCTGAAGTGTTTCGGGCAATATTATCTGCTCATATTCACCCAAATGCTTCAGAACTCATTGGATGCAGATTCACAGTGCAGATGGACAATGACCCAAAGCATACTGCAAAAGCAACCAAAGAGTTTTTTAAGGGAAAGAAGTGGAATGTTATGCAATGGCCAAATCAATCACCTGACCTGAATCCGATTGAACATGCATTTCACTTGCTGAAGACAAAACTGAAGGGAAAATGCCCCAAGAACAAGCAGGAACTGAAGACAGTTGCAGTAGAGGCCTGTCAGAGCATCACCAAGGGTGAAACCCAGCGTCTGGTGATATTTATGCGTTCCAGACTTCAGGCTGTAATTAAAATTGCAACCAAGTATTAAAAAGTGAAAGTTTGATTTATAATTATTATTCTGTCCAATTACTTTTGGTCCCTTAACAAGTGGGAGGCACATATGCAAACTGTTGTAATTCCTACACCGTTCACCTGATTTGGATGTAAATACCCTCAAATTAAAGCTGACAGTCTGCAGTTAAAGCACATCTTGTTCGTTTCATTTCAAATCTATTGTGGGGGGGTGGTGTATAGAGCCAAAAACCTGTTAGAATTGTGTCGATGGTAATGTCCCCAATATTTATTTAAGGACCTGAAAAATGAACATGTATATTCATTTGTTTACATCTGAGCCCCTTCTTTGTTTGTGGGGACCTGACTTTCTGCCTTTAATTTTGCCTTCAGCATGTGAAATGCATGCTCAATTGGGTTGAGATCAGGTGATTGACTCAGCCATTACAGAATATTCCACTTATTTTCCTTCAAAAGCTCCTGGGCTGCTTTTGCAGTGTGTTTTGGATCATTGTCCATCTGTACTGTGGAGCACCGTCCAATCAACTTTACTGCATTTGGCTGAATCTGGGCTGACAATATATCTCTAAACACTGCAGAATTCATCCGGCTGCTTCTGTCTTCTGTCACATCATCAATAAACACCAATGACCCAGTGCCACTGGAAGCCATGTATGCCCAGGCTCCACCATGTTTTATAGATGAGGTTGTGTGCTTTGGATCAAGAGCTGTTCCAAGCCTTCTCCACACTTTTTTCTTCCCATCATTCTGGCACAGATTAATCTTAGTTTCATCCGTAAAAAGAATGCTTTCCCAGAACTGGTCTGGCTTTTTTAGATGTTTTTTGGCACAGTCTAATCTGGGTTTTCTATTCTTATGAATGGTTTGCACCTTGTGGTGAACCCTTTGTATTTGCTCTCGTGAAGTCTTCTCTTGATTGTAGACTTTGACAATGATATGCCCACCTTCTCTAGAGTGTCCTTCACTTGTCTGGATGTTGTGAATGGGTTTTTCTTTACCATAGAGAGGATCCTGCGATCATCCACCACTGTTGTCTTCTATGGACATCCATGCCTTTTCATGTTGGTGAGCTCACCAGTGCATTCTTCTTTCCTCAGAATGTACCAAACTGTTGATTTGGCCACTCCTAATGTTGCTGGTATCTTTCTTATGGATTTGTTTCCTTTTTGAAGCCTTACAATGGCCTGTTCCGCTTGCATAGACAGCTCCTTTGAACGCATGATGTAGGTTCACAGCAATAGATTCAAATGCAAATACTACACTTAGAATGAACTCCAGACCTTTTACCTGCTTAATTGATGAATAAATACTGAAGGAGCAGCCCACTCCTGGCTATGAAACAGTTTTTTATTCAATTGTCCAATTACTTTTGGTCCTTGAAAAAGGGGGGATGGCTACTCTTAAGAGCTGCAATTGCTAAACCCTTCCTCTAATGTGGATGTATATACCCTCAAATTAAACCTGAGAGTGTGCATGTTCAGCCCATATCCATTATATAACTATAGCTTGAATATGTTTTGGTAAATGCGATAATAACCCCAAAAATTATATAAAAAATGAAAAATATATAAATATACAGTATATATACATAAATATTAAAACCACAAAAAGAACAAAATAAATAAATAGTATAAAATAATATAAACAATGCCACCAAAAAGTGCAAAAAGTGAAAAAATCAATCCATAATAAAATATAAAAAAAATCAGTTCATAATAAAATAAAGTCCAAAATTATTTTCTTCAAAAAGTTTCCACCACAACCGTGATTTCCATTGTGCTCAACACCCCATCAAAGTGCAAACTCACCAGATGCTGGTGTTTAATCAGCATTAAATCAGGTATCAATAGACATGGAAATTCATCAAAACCAGATTGCTGATCACGCCCTTACGTGTTTTGTCACACAACTTCCTCTGAGGGTGTGTGTGATCAACATACAGGCCTTTGGCTTTTATAAGACAGCTCGCAATCCTATAGGTCAGCCAATTGAACTTCCACTGCCATCTTTTGATTGAATATCTAATAGCATATACTCAACTAGTCCTGCCTAAGAAGACAAGTACCAGAAGGGGAGAATACAAAAGCTCCCTACTGTCATCATATGGAGAAACACAAATATGATAGTCCACTATTCATATCACAAAGAGGGAAACCATCAAAATTACATCATCATAAAACTAATAAAATTCAAATAACATTAATTATAAAATCAAATATACACCCTGTTCCAAATTGTTATGCAAATTATATTTTTCTCATTTACCTAAATAATTGATGTAAATAACAGTCAGCATAATTCTCATGTTATCAACCATTAAGAGTACAATTCAAATTTTATTGAACAAACCTCCTAATGATAACAGTATTTTTTTTTAAACATAAAAAACTTAAAATGCACTGTTCCAAATTATTACACACAGTAAGTTTCAAAACACTTTATAGGTTGTAAAGAACTGAAAATTGTCATTTGTTGTGTTTGCAGCATATTTACTGAAATCAAAAGCTATTTCAATCAAACTTTTAACAACATTTTAACTTTTCAAACATTTTAACAGGTCACGTTACATTTTAACATAGGACCCCTTATTTGATAGCAGCTTCACAAGTCTTGCATCCATTGAACTTGTGAGTTTTTGGACAGTTTCTGCTTGAATTTGTTTGCAAGATGTCAGAATAGCCTCCCAGAGCCGCTGTTTGGATGTAAACTGCCTCCCACAGTCATAGATCTTTTGCTTGAGGATGCTCCAAAGGTTCTCAATAGGATTGAGGTCAGGGGAGGATGGAGGCCACACCATGACTTTCTCTCCTTTTATCCCCATAGCAGCCATTGATGCAGAGGTATTCTTTGCAGCATGAGATGGTGCATTGTCATGCATGAAGATGATTTTATTACGGAAAGCAAAGTTCTTCCTTCTGTACCAGGGAAGAAAGTGGTCAGTCATAAACTCCACATACTTTGCAGAGGTCATCTTTATACCTTCGGGGACCCTAAAGGGGCCGACCAGCTCTGTTCCCATGATTCCGACTCAAAACATGACTCCACCACCGCCTTGCTGAAGTCGCAGCCTTGTTGGAACAGGGTGGCCGTCCACCAAACATCCACTACTCCATCCATCTGGACCATCCAGGGTTGCACGACACTCATCAGTGAACAG